CCTGGGGGACACCACTTGTAACAGGTCGCCAGCTGGACTTAACTCCATTAACTACTACCCGATGGGCACAGCCCTCTAGCCAGTTCTTTACCCAAAGAAAGGTATACTTGTCCATAGGCACTGAGGGAATATTACCTAATATTTGTGATGCTAATAAAAGTAGAGGTGTATTTTTGAAATGTGGTTGTAAACTGCAAGTACAGACATGCTCATGTGGCCACTGGATGTCACCATTCCTTCATCTGAATAAGGTCAGTTCCAGCATTTTTTACATTTAAGGATTTTTCCAGAATGTCATGGCTTCTAAGTAGTTAGAATAAGAAGCCTGAAATTTCTTGCTTTGTCTATGAAAGCTGCTCCAAAGGCTTCGTATTTTTAAAGTAGTATGGCAGCACTTAAGATAAGAGGAGAAAGGTGTGTCTCTTACTCTGCTTGGAAAGAACGGGTGAAGTATGTGCTGGTTGTAGCTGTAAGAAAAGGTAAATTAGCCCTTTTTTAAAAAAGCAGTTAACTTCAGAGTGTAGTTCTGTGTTTAGGATTTCTGAATGCAAATTTAGTTTAAAAAAAATCCTATGTCGTTCATTTCTACTCAGTGGTGCTCATACAGTTGATCATCTGAAAGCTATCTCAAAGGAATGAGTTGGGATTTGAAAGAAAGAGAAAAATAAGGGAGGGGAGGAAAAAACACCTGGAAACCCCACGATTGCCACCATATTGTTGCTAACCCAGCTGATGGAGACTGAAATGAGTCAAGGGAGGACTGCCAATTCACAGGAACTTCTGACGTTGTCCCAGATATTGATGTATTTTTCAGAATATGCACTATGATGCTCTCTTCATGCCTTCAGCCTGTCCTTTGGCATTTAAGAAACCACTGGTTTCTATCATCGCGTTGGTATTGAATAAGGGACATACTTGCACTGGGACTGACATATGTCAATTGCAGTTCTTTATACACACATTCCAAATACCGTATGGGCAATTTGCGGGGGAAAAAAGATCTCACAGAAAGCATTTAGAGTTAGTTGAAGTTTGTTGAGAAGGGAGATTTACAGAGGAGAGATTTACTCTCTCCCTTGCCAGGAACAATCCAGAAGAGCAAGCCTTTTAATTCAGTAGCTAATGGTTTATATTGAACATAGTGAATGTCAGCAGGATGGTGCTTTAAACAGTTTTACTTCTGTAGATTGAAGGACAAAAGAGTTTTAATTGTGGAATTTGTGACTTCCAGTAGCCTTTTATGTGTTTGTAAAACAGTGTTTTTACTTTCACTGGGTCTTCAGCCATGCAGTATTTATCATCCATGTGCTGGAGAAGTTGTATTGCAGCCTTTTTGATTTCTGACACAAAAGATTCAACAACATTTTGGTTTCTGCATCCTACTCGTGCTGCTCACTGTGGCACAGTTTGTATTGGTATTTATTTATGTGAAGTGTTTCCAACTGAAGTGAAATGGTGCTTCAGTTATTGGTTCTTGAGAGAGATACAGACTGGTTCAGTGACAAGGCCATGGTTATTTTGCTCTGAATCTTTTAAGTGTTCAGAAGCAGCATGTGTCAGCTGAGAATTTATCTGCCAAGTGACAAAAAACAACTCCTGACATTTGACACAATTGACCGTAAACAATTGCAATGCTAAGTCAAAATCCTAATGGAATGCATTGATCCTGTATTTCAGGATCCAGCTCCTCTGCACACCCTTTTTTGAAAGAGTATATATAGAACAGTACAACCTGAGTAACAGGCATGAGAAAATGTGGCTGAATATTTGACCTGTTGAAGAAGGCTAATAACCTCCTAAATCCCAACATCTGTAGAAAAAAGTGTGTTATTTAACATCTTATGTTTGTTTTCTGCAAATGATTTCTATGATGCAGTCTCCTCCAAACCATTCTGGTCTCTGTAGATGTGTGAGATAGGCTCCTGGTGGGTTGGTTACTTTGACTGATTCCCAGCCCAGCAATTTTGGAACAGTAGTGTGGAAATAAGTCACGTGCAGAATATGTGGTGAGGTCTGAAAAAGGCCTGTAATGGAAAGATAAGCCTTGATCCATTCTCTTGATCCTCAAACAGTTGCCCTCATTTGGTGAGCTCTTTGAGCTAGCCCTGTTTCCTGTTGTACTATATCTGGGTCACTGGAAAAATATGTGTTTAGGAGGAATGCATGAGGTAGGCACACCAGATTACATCATCCTCAGAGCTTGTCAGGCCATGACTGCTTTCTAGCTCACACTGAATCTTGTTCAGAAAATCCAGATAATTTGGATGTTATTTTTGTCCAGATCATGCTCACAGAGAAGGGTGCAGGTTCTTGAAACCTGTTCTCTTAAGTGTTTATCAGATTTGTACTAGGTAACATCAGGAGGAGGTAGGTCAGAACACTCAAATCATCTTTAATTCATGAACATAGCTATTTAGGGCACTTCTGAAGTGTCAGTTGCTTGTGGTAGGAGTGAAGTATGTTGCTGCTTACATAGCTGACACTGTAAGGCTTGCCTTTATAGTTGCATATTAAAGTTTTGGATGCATCAGACATGTAGATCTAGGTAACATGTTTGTTGGCGGGGGGAAAAGATATTCCTGCTCCATCCTGTGTACATTTCAACATGTAACATACAGTTAAACAGAAACAGCAGCATTCAAACCCCATGTAGTTTCTTCAAGTACTCTGGGTAACATCAAAACTCTTAGGGATTTGATTGGGTGGGTGGCAGATCTCCATCTGCCATCGAAGTGCTTTAATCTTTTTGTGCCTGTGTCACATCGTGCCACTGAAGTAGTCCTGTTTCCAACAGGTTGCAAAGTAAAAATCAAAACGGAGGAGAGAGAAGTAAAGCAGATGGTACGAACTAAACAGAGTTCTTTAATTCGTATAACTCAGTTCTGTGAAGGTTTTAGTGATAACATATTATTTGTATATACCTCCTTTTGCTTGTACTGTGAGAGGATGATGGAATCACTACAATTCCACTGTTACTCATTTTTTTTTCTGTCAAATCTGTCATGTAAATCTTTTTGATACATGGAACATGAATCCTCTGAATCAACCTCAGTAGCAGAGAGTTTGGTCGAGTGTCTTGTCACACATATGACTGCTGCTCTCTAAGTTTGAGCATTCTATACATTCATCAGGTTGTATCTACACTGAATCAAGCATATCCTCATTTTCAGGAGACTGTTTTCTCTTTTGGTGTACAACTTGCCCCACTACGCATAAGTTAATGTGGATTTTTCAGGGAATATATTGTATTATTAATAATACCATGAAAATTCTGTCCCAAGTAGATGTTGTGTTGGATTTGTATCACCTGGAAGTGAAGGAGAAAAAAAACAGTTGCTGCAGAAGGGAAAGTGCTGAAGTACAAGTAGGACGAGTTTTTCATGTGATTGCACACCTGTGGAATTCTAGAGCCATTTGGTGTTTCCTTTGGTGCTCGTCCCTCATTGTCCATGTTCTGGCTTGTTCCCTAGGTTCCGTGATGCTTTGACCCAGTTCTCAGGACAGGGGTGGGAGGCCCCAGGGCAGGCAGGTTTTCTGGTGCTGCTTTTCCTTCTCTATGTTGCACAATTCCAATAAGAGCAGATACAAGCCAGTGGGCCATCAGCATTCACACAGCGCGGGTGCTGTTACTGCTGTTGTTTAAGCAACAGTGCTTAAAGGGAAGAGCGTTGTAAGCAGGGTCTTGCATGGTGACTTGGCCTGCTAGGAACTATTGGTGAGAGCTACTGAGATGTGAATGTCCCAGTGCTTATTGTCAAGTACCAATGACCATAGACTTTGCACATCAGGCATTTGAGGTATTGCAGTGTTACCACAAAACGTTCACATCCCCAGCAAGATCCCAGCTACTTGCTCAAACAGAACATGGTGAGAGTACACACAACCCTGTGCTCTAAGTGATTAGGTAACAGTGGTGTTATTAAATTGAAGCTGAATGAGGTTTGTTTTGAAATTGAGCAGTGTTAAGGTCAATAAGCAGTGGGCCTACTGACAGGCTGAATACCTAGGAGTTCTGTAGAGTCATCCATGTGGAGTCTCTCCATCTCACCTTTTCCTGTAGAAAAGCACAGTAAGCACAGAAGTATACCTCTGCTTAATTCAACTGGCTTTCAAACATATTTTTTAGGTTGATATAATTAATGTGTGGGGGGGTGGGGGTATAATTAAATGTATTTGCAGCCCTGATGCTTCTCACAGAAGACTGCATTAAAATATCAGAAGTCTTTTTAAGACCTGTTTTACCACTGAAATAATCCCATCCCCAATTAAACACTATGTGATTACAGTACTATGTCATTTAATTCTCCTTTGTTCCTTCTTTCCTTTGCTAACAAACTCTATAACAAAGTACCTTATTATAAATCTACTTTTTGTTGTTTCTCTGTATTACATTCACTCAAACCTCTAACTTAATTCCAGATGTTAGAAACACAGACTCAAGAATCACTTTTATTTTGTTCTGTTTTATCAGGAATTAGTTGGTAGGCTTAAGTTGGACAAAACTGGGGCATTAAAATGCTTATTTAAAGAAATGACTATGAATATTAACACTAGCTTGTTGTCTACGAATGCATAGTAGTAATCAGTTATAATTACTAATCTCTTAATTGTTAGGAATTCACTAAGATTAAAGCAACATTTCTAAAATATGTGGTGTTTTTAAACATTTTTAATGTGTATTTGTATGGTGTGAGTTTGGGAATTCTAAGTTTGCCCTTGAGTTTCCCCAGGGAAGGAGACTAATATTTCAAAGGCGGTGTCCCGTAATGAAAATGTCGAGTGGGCATCATTGTCCTTATTTATAATTAGAAGATACCTTATGGTTGAGACCATATAGATTAGTGTGACTTAGAGTACAGTGCTAAGCCTAAAGGGAAGACAATTTGCTGGCTCACTTATTAAAGATGTTTCTCAACCTGTCAGCTTTTTTGAATGCTTTTACTGTTCTTTATGCTTCAAAATAATTATTGATTGATTTTTTTTCTTCTATTCTCTTGCAGAAAGATGAAGTGTACCTCAACTTGGTGCTGGACTATGTTCCTGAAACAGTATACAGAGTTGCCAGACATTATAGTCGGGCCAAACAGACACTCCCTATGATTTATGTCAAGGTAGGTAACTAATAACTGTGGTTAGATGAAGAGGTATATTATAGGAACAAACTCTCTGAATACCTATTTTCTCACATAATTAGTTTTCTGAAGTTTTTAGAAGTATGTGTGTCTTGAGGCAAGAAACAAAAAAGATCAGAAAGTATATTTGTTAGAGTGAAGGAAGAGTAGAGGCAAGAGTTTTTCAGCACCTGATTTCTCACTTTACAGAAATCTCAGAATGGTTAGGGGGAGGGCTGGGAAGTGTGGGGTGTTTTGTTTTCATATAGCTTAGAGTCTGACACCAGCTAGATTCCCAGCTTCAGCTTTCAGAGATGATGATGACACAATAGTACAAAGATCAAAAATTTAAAGAAAATGTCAGGAAGAATGGAATTCTCTTATTATCTTCTTCCTTTGCCTGATAACTAACTGAGAGCTCCTGTGCCTCTGATGAAGGAATGAAAGGTGTGCTTTTGTCCCCTTCCTTATACATGGAGCTCTTTGGCTTTACCACTTGTGTTGAAGAGCAGGAGATGTTTTTATGCACATTTTAGCCTCAAAACCTCACTTTAGCTGTCTGCATCTTTTATTGTCCTTTGTACAGTAATTAAAGATGAATAAAACTTCATTTTTTGTCCAATATGGGATGCATCTGGGTCTCATAATTCTATTTCATGTACTGTGGTGACCACAATTTGTGTGCTAACAGAAGGTCACGGAATCATAGAGTATTGGAAGAGATCACTGAGTCCAGTGTTGTTAACTTGAGTTTAACTTGTTAACGTGGCACACAGATAACATAAAATTGAAATTAGCAATAGAAGTTTCTGATTTGTATTGGTTTCTTCAGGCTCATCTTTAAATGCCTAATGCTTAACGTTAGGGTGGGCTGAAGAGTACCTTTTAATTTGATTGAAAAAATGAATGTTGCAAAAAGTAATTCTTCCAATAACAAAGTGTTGTACCATTACCCAGTATACAGAAACTGTAAATTAAGTGTCTTGGCAATAGTCAGCACTGTTCCCTGTTTTTACGAAAGCACAGGATATTACCATTCAGCACTAAGAATTTGTACTGCAAAGTAATTCCTGTGCTTGGCCTGTTGGTGGAACAATATGTCCTCAGGTTATAAGCACCACAAAACTTGCTAGCTTAGCTTTTGATAAATTATTCATTTATTTTTGTTCTAATTGCTGTTAATTATGACGACTTTGAAAAAATGGTTTGTAAGTATCCTATGAGAGAGAATTCTGCTTCATCTGTTTCATCTTCCTGGATACTTGGGACTTCCCTTTCCACGTAGCCAAGAAGTCTGTTCTTACCTTGTTTTTCTGACAAGGCAGGCCTATTTCTGTCTTATATTTTAAAAGAGATCATGTGACTTTGATGGCATTAGAACTGTTGCAAATGGAAGATACCTTGGCAATTGCAAATGTCAGATCGTACCCATTTGTTCGCTTTTGATTGATATGTAGGAAGGCAGACAGCTCCTCTGTCCTGGGTAACAAAGAAACTGCTTATGAAACTGGAAGAATCTTTTCTGATAATCTTTTTGTTAGTTTTTATTAGCAGCCTCTAACATTCTGTAATACATTCGTGGAAGTTCTGGATCTGTTGTACTGAGATGGAGGACATACTTCATGAACACTGCATGCATTGACTTGACTCACCAATTTAGAGCAATCTTCCAAATTATTTTGCAATACACTTGCACAATAAGTACCTGCCATGTCTAGAACAGACAATTCAGAAAATGTTTGTTTGTTTACTTTTCTTTGTGCAGGTTTCTGGTTTTGAAAAAACAAAAGTGGAGACTGAAAACACAGAGCCCATAGTCAAACAATACTTTTCCTGCTAGTATCTTTCCTGCCAAAAAAAAAAACAAAAAAAAGCCAAAGAAAAAAACAGACAAGGGGGGGGAGTGTAAATACAAAGATAATGATGGAAGTGAAGCAAACATGACTTAATACCAATGTCTAGCAATTGCACCTAGTTTTACAGACCTCTAAAGCTGATGTATGGAGAATGTGCACATGAAAATGGGAAGGTGCAATTTCCAGCCTATAGGCTTACTTCACATCACTGGAATGATTTCAGAAAACCTGAGGGACACAAGAAAACTATGAAATAACCTGTCTGCCTGTTAAGCCTGGGTTTTCTCTGTGTATTAATGACTATATACGCTATACAGCCCTAATTATGTCCAGAGCTCCTTATTCCTTGCAGCCAAATATGTGGACAGCCCTGCCTTACCCAGTCATTTTGCCGTGGCAGGTTCTTGGCTTGCTGTGTTCTTCATTGCCAGCCTTGGAAGGGAGAACAGAGCAAACTCCCTGTTAGCAGACTTGTTTGCCTTGCCTCATATAAAATTGTCGTTAGTTGACCTATCTTTTTGCCTGGAGGTTTGAAATTGGAAAGAGTCTGCCCCTTGACTGGGAAAAGCTAGGAGATTTGTTCAAGTGTCATGCTGAAACACAACCATATTCCTTGGACAGCATTTCATACCCTGTTAATAACTTCCTTGGCTAAAGGGTTTTTTTCACTTTTTTAATAACCCGGAATACCTCATTTCTGTGAAGAGGCTGATTTATAAAGTAAATGCACACTTTTATTTTCTGTATGCTTTCTGTGACTACCATCATTGTTAGGTCTGTGGTTATTTATATATATTGAAAAGCTGGCACAATTACTTCTTTGGAATTGTGCTCATTTTCAAAAGGAGAATCTGAACCTCCTGTGGACAATCTGAACTTATGTGGCAAAGAGGGGTGAGAAGATGTGCCAGTTCCTGGGCTTTCCCTGTCTCAACAGGACTGACATAAATTCAGCAGGGCCTTTTTTGTTTTTTGTTTGTTTTAGTGGTTCTGTTTTTTACTCTAATAGAGTTATGTGTTGAGTTATTTAGCCTGTTTTGGCTGGGAAAGCATACTTTACACAATATTTCTGTGTTCCAGTTGTACATGTATCAGCTGTTCCGGAGTTTAGCCTATATCCATTCCTTTGGGATCTGCCACCGGGATATAAAACCACAAAACCTCTTGCTGGACCCTGATACAGCTGTCCTTAAACTCTGCGACTTCGGAAGGTAAGCTTGTCTATGGCCTGAAGCTTGGGGAGTCAGATTTATTTCGAAACAAATCTAGTGAAATTTTGCAGAAGAACTCTTGTGTTCCTCTGAAGTTTATTGTTTGTAGTTTTAATGGAGAAATTAATATTAGAGTGTTTCCTTTTTAAAATGAGCTCCTAAGAAGAAAAGAAAAGGAACTGGTGAAGGGTGTCAAATAGGAAGCAAGTAAAATTCAATCCTGATTAAAAAATAATAATAATAAAGTAAATAGGCCATTAATAGGGAAAATAGTGTGCCATGGAGAAATAACACTGAACAGTAGAGTAAAATGTGTGGAAGAAGGGGTATGCAGAGTGACGTGGTAACCTGAAAAGGTTAATGCTACCTTATTAGTCTATTTGTGTTAATCTGCTGATTCATCTAATATTTCAAATACTTTAGAAGATCAAGTTCAGCAGCAGCAATTCTAATTGCAGATAGTGGACATCCGTATCCCAGTTTCCAGTGGCATATTTTTTCCAGTTCTGTTCAAGTGATTCAGTTGAACAAGTGAGTCCAGCCCTAATCTAGAAAGTAAAACCGATACAGAAGTTCTAGATATCCACACTGAGAAAGGAAACAGATTTGTTCCTGAAGTTCAGTCTTTAGATTGTGCTGTAACTTTGCAGACTAAAATAGCCAGGTCATACATGTGAGAGGTCACTGAAATTGCTGTTGCTAAATTTGTTTGCCTGTAGTGAGTGGGAATGTCAGATGGTGATTACTCAAGCAGTGCATCGTCACGCCTCATGGTTTGGGAATCTCCTTTCTAGCTCTACATCACAAGCAGTGGAGCAAAATAGGAATCGCATTTAAACGTGAAGTAACAGTGCATAAACAGGCGGTACCTCTAGCTGTTAGAAATCTGAATTGTTAATTGTAGTTTCTGTCTCTTTAGGCAAAACTGAGACTTTTTAAAACCGTCTAATTGGGTGGGGGGAGCTCTTCCTTCTCTCAGAGGCTCAGTGTTGGATTTGGCTGGGGTTTGTTGCCACTTAGTGAAATGTATCATACTTCCAAAGGAGCAGGTTGATTTCCACATCCTTTTTATCAAATGCATGGTATTAATTAAGAAAGAAACATAGCACAGACTCATGTTCCAAAAGTAACGTGCTGTTGTGTTTCTAAGGAAACTCGTCATTACAGTTGTGGCAGTACTGTATGTTAGATGCTTTGTGGCAGTGTAAATCATAGCAAGTACAGAGGCGAATAAAGATACAGCTGTGATTTTGTATTTGAAGAATTTGCATTAGGAAAAGTACCTGAAACTGAATTCACCGTGTTCACTTCTACATGAAGCCTTCATGTTTATCTTGGACTAATAACATGTGCCTGCACCAGCAAACTTGTTTTTACCTTTGTCTTCATGCACACTTAGCCTCATGACACACTCCCTAAAACAGGAAAAAGCCAGAATATTCTGATGAAAGCTTAAGAAAATAAGAGTAATAATAGAAAGTACTCTGTTCTGGTGAGTACCCAGGGCTTTTGAACCTTAAAAGATGGCTACATCTGGCTGAGCTGTATTCTGTCGTCTTCGACTTTAACACAAGCTTTTCAACACATCAAACTTTCACGGACAACTGCCAGCCAAAATCCTGACACTATTTATCCTCCAAATTGTAGTCAGCATTTCCTTTGCTGTGTCCACTGTAAGGTAGCTGCCTGGTGGGCTGATTTCACAATAAATCAAGTCTGTGCCTTGTGTAAGCTTAGAACACAGTCATTTAGCATTTAGGACTCGGGGGTGGTAAGGAGTGCTAAAGCTTAATACTGGTCTGCATTAAAGTACTGTGAAGCTTTTTGTTTCTAAAATATTATTGATTTGTTTCCATTTCAGTGCAAAACAGCTGGTTCGTGGAGAACCTAACGTTTCATACATCTGCTCTCGGTACTACAGGGCACCAGAGTTGATCTTTGGAGCCACCGATTATACCTCCAGTATAGGTATGTGTATGTATTTGTTGAAGTCTGTGCCAGCTGCATGGGTTTTTATTCTGTAGTTAAGTGTAAAGGATTGCAAGAGGCAGAATTTTGTTGTAAACAGGCAGACACCACTTAGCAAAGTATACATTTTTTAGGGGGCTGTTGCAGTTTCTAAACTTGAGATTTCGATGTCAATTATATAATGAAATGTCTGGGATGAAATCTGATTCAAATAAAACATCTTCCAGATCTCCAGGTACTTTTGCTGTTTAATTTAAAAGTAGGTACAAGGGAGAGACCAAACTAACAAGTATTTGATTACTTAACTATAAAGAAGGACTATATAAAGAATATAAGCTATTATCCTGTTTCTGATATGCTGTGATTCGGACCCAAATAATTTTGTAGCTTGTTTGCTTGGCTTTTAGTAAAGTGTTTTTAGTGGGAGAGAAAATGTGGAGTGATGTTTGGCTTTAAACTCTCTTGGCAGGTTGAATGTAACATATATGGCAGTATTTCAGATTCTGCTCATTCTGTTAACATTTATTGCCCCTTACTCATTAATTGTCAACATGAAGAAGACTCTTTTTTTTAATACTGGGCATACAGCTGCATTGTGGAAATGTTAGGGAAGCTGAAGGTTTAGGCAGAGGACAGGAAATAACCAGATGTTCATACAGCAGTCACAGAAAGTTGCTCAAGGTGAACAGCCATAAGTTACCTTGTTGTGGATCACTTCATCAGTTTTTTAGTCAGGGTACTCCCTGGGTTCTTTTTGAAGCCTGGTGCTAAGATTTTATCTTGCTTACAGTCTTGACTAGTACAGGCTAGGTTTAATAGATTCAAAAGGATACGGAGGTCGTGAACAAGTCTTGAAAAAATAAGCTTGTAACTCACTCAAGTGTACTTAAAGGTAGTAAGCTCAAACTAGCGTTAAAATCATTGACTGTGTCATTTCACATGTTCAGTTCTTTGAAAACAGAAATATTTCCGAAGACTTACTTCTTCTCATTGTTATTTTTTTCCCCATTAGTTATTCTCCAGAATCATATTATAGCAACGCTCATGTTGATATAAAAAAAAAAAAAAAAAGGGGCAGGACCAGAAGTTGGGGAAAAGTAATGGCATAGTAAAGATAAACACATATCTCCCCTTGTATGAAAAGATGCAGGACCAGAAGTCTGAAGAGAGTAATGGCAAAGTAAAGATAAAGTGGCAGAGCTTCTCTAATGGTTAGCCAAGCCAAAAGTGGCAGCCTCAGCCCTCCTTTTGCTCTTGGGTACACCAGCTCCCACACTTCACTATTCAGTATGCTGATTCAGCCTCACTTTGTCTAGAGACTTCATTTTGGCTAGGTTAGCTTTTTGCAGTGTAATGAGTTGAATCAACATTACTGTGCAGTCTGATAAGCACCAGGGCACAGGTAAAAGCAAAGAGGCAGGGGCTTGAGAGTGAGGGAAGGCAGCTGATCCCAACTGACATCTTTTTGCCAACTGAGGGCTAATAGATTGACTCAGCTGTGTTATCAGAGTGCACTGAGACAACTTGTTTCAGGGGATAACTACATAAAACAAATACTTTAGGTCACCAGAATAGACTGCTTTGTAGATAAGTCTATGGAATGTTGCTGGCTCCAACTGTATAATGACTTTAATCTTTTTTGCAGAAATTTTTATTTTGTTACCTGCCAGTCTCTGTAATAATTCTAATAAAAAATAAACTTGCTGTTTGCCAACGTCATAATGGTTTTAAACTTTCGTGGTTCAGACGTTTTCATACACCACAAAAATTCTATAACCTGAAAATCATCTTCTAAACAAATCAGCTGAGGTAAAATTTGCACAGAATTAGTTTGAAAATGAAATTTAGCAAATTTTTCTTTCCCTTTCCTCCTTCAGCTTCCTTCAACATAATCTTTGCATTTGGGAATTGTGAAGTAATAAAATGCTTTTAGAAACTATTTTTGCAGTTCCCAGCATTCTGGGATGCTTCTGCATTCTGGAAGTCGCAACAGAAATGTAAGCTGGCTTGTAATTTCTGGGATTTTATTTTATCAGAACACATGAGTTAGGTAGGTTTTTTGGATTATAACTTTAAAATAACTGAAACTGGGGGTAGTGTTTGCAATACTGGGTTGGTGACATAGATTAATGGATGATAACATCAGTGGCATCAAAATTTAATGCAGTTAACACCTCAGTATGTGTCATCTTGCAGACCTGGAACTACTATTAAAATAACGAACTGGGAAATAAACTGTTCAGGCTTCTGAATGGTTGCTGTTGCCAGTTAGTTACTAAACCAGGCAGCATTCTTATTGCATACTTTTAAGGGATTTTTCAATGGCAGGACACGTGCATTCGTGTCAGTTAAAACCTGCAGAATTTTGGGCTCCGTTTCATAGTCAAAGGCGATTTTCTGGGTGTGTCTGTGAGGCTAAGGATAGCACGCAGTTTTGTTCCTGCAGCTAACTACTGGAAGCATCTGTTTTTATGCAAGCGGAGCCCTTCTGCTGCCCCTGGATAGAGTTTTAGGCAGAACTTCCTCCTTGCAGGTCCACGTGTGCTGCTGTCCCAGGGTATGCTGTCTGCTTGTTGCCTGGCTGCTGCCAGCTGAAAACGTGGGATTACTGCCTGCATTCCCCTCGAATGTCCTGAGACAAACATAGGCAGGCTCTGGAGTAGGGCTGGATGCAAATATTTGTTACTGCATGATCCTGCTTTATAAAAAGAAGCACCGAAGTCAAGTTTTACCTGGAGAATGTGCTTTTTACTAGGTCGGGAGATGGGGAAAAAGAGCGCTTGTCAGAAATGCTTCTGGTTAATGAGGGTGGTCTCCAGCACGTTTTCTCCGTCATGGCTCTGGGCAGACATTGAGAGCATTCCAGAGGCAACATTTATAGCTGCTGTCAGGGAACGATCAATCTGTACAGCCCTATCACTGGCTTCTGCTGAGCTGTCCAAAAATAAGCGTCACAAATTTATTCATTCACTTTCCTAGCAAGTGCTAGAACTGAGGATGTGAGAAGTTCATCTCCTTCAGAGCAGAATTTCCCCCAGAGGCACGTGCAGCAAAGCTGTCTCCAAATTTCTTGGGAAAGAACAATCATGAGGTGTGTTCCAAACCTGCTACCGAGCAGAGAAAAGGATTCGCCTCTATCTAAGGCGGTGATTCCCATTGCTGAAACTAAGCATGGATGTTGAAGTACTGACCAGTTCTCTCACCTGTGATTGCTGTTTCATCTCTTCATTGCAGAGAAAAGGTGCCCATGTCGATGACTTCCTAACCATTTCAGGTTTTAGCCTTACTCTACCTCATGTAGGCTGTGGATCTGTGCTAAGCAGATGTGCAAGACTTGCATTTGACATAACAACGCATGCCCATTATCCCAGATTTTGTTCTCATTCTGACGTTCTAAAAAGCATTCCAAAAAAACTAGCAGTGAAAAGCATTTTATGTTCTGGCATTTGGCAAGTAGAAGCTGCTGATTTTACAACCTCCTAGGGCTACTGTTCCGACTCTGGTTTTTCCCTGCTGGTTTGTACAGATGATTGGCTTCCAGAGTAACAGTTTTGGGATGGAGGAAATCCATCAAGTCAGATCAGAGAATGCTGGGGCAGAGCTTACTATAGCAGGAAAAAAGTGTAGGAGAGTTTCAGATGGAGGAAAATTCTTAGTTTCCACTGAATTGATGAGAGCAGGCAAATATTTTTTTTCTTCGTGCCCTCTAAATAACGAAGGGAAGGTGGTGTATAGCACAATGACCACTGCTGCAGTGATGAGAGCCAGAGTCAAAATTTCTCTGTTTGTTCTTGAATTTATGTTACTCAGCAGAGTTCTATAAACACCTAAGGAAAATTATTTGGTTGCCATCCCTATTTCAAGCTGCTCATGTTGGCTGCGGATCTCTGGCTTTAAATGAGAATACTTAGAAGATTTTTTCATTTCCTTGAAGTGGGAACATTGCCCAGGTCCAAACTTGGAAGAGAGTGAAATGATGCTCCAGGAAAAAGAATTATGCGTTTCAGTGCGTCTGTTTTACATGCTGATTAATTTATAGTATTCACAAATAAAATCAAGGAAGATGAAATAGGTTTGTAAGAAGTTATTAAGTCACCCGATCTTACAGACTTCCTTACACAGGGAGCAATGGATTTGTTTCCAGTGGATTTGCTGTGTCTGCTAGATTCCCCCATCACAAATACCGTAAGGATTCCTCAGACTTCCCCGGCTGCTCCCTTGTGACCTGCATCCTTTTTATTCTTTGCCTCTGCAGTACCCTCAACTTCCTGCATGCTGCCGTCAGCTGCTTGTGCAGCCTCTGGCTTGTCTGCAGCTGCAGTGTGTTCCTGGGCCAAGCAAGTTCTGCAGGGCTGACCCTCTTCCCACAGCAGTGATGCTGCTGCTTGCTGTCCTCTCTGTTTTCCCAAAACTGAAATGGCCTTGATACTTCAACCTTTAAGACTTGTCAGAAATTGGCTGGTGGAGTGGGAAGACATCGAGGGAGACTGCAGAAGGATAAAAGCAGAAAGCCAGTGTCATGGAGAAGCCAGACCAGAAGGTTAATTAAGACGATTTTATGAAGCCCTAATCTAATTCAAAAAAATCATGCTGATGTAGCTTCCAGATCTATAAAGGAACTGAGTTCTGAATGCAAAATTACACAAAACAAAGCTGGCATTTAAATATGTTCTGTCTTTTCCTTTCAATATATTGTTCTTTTTTAGTCCAAAATAAGTCTCAAAATGATTATAGCTTTGGGGTACCACTTTTTTTGTACGCTCAGTGGAAAAATCTTCAGTTTCTCAACACCCCTTACAGCGAGTTTAAATAGACTTCTAGGTTTCAGTTCTGTACTTAATACATTTAATCTATTTCTTTGCTACTTCTGAAGAAATTTGCTGTCTTTTGGTCTGCTGTTTAAGCTCCTGTAAATGCAGCTACCTATTTGGAAGGCTCTTTGTATGGATGGATGACATAAGTCATACATTCTTTTCATCATTTGCTTGTATGTATCAGTCTGATGGCCATAACTATCAGTTAGCGGTCATTCAGAAGCCGAGGCGATGTGTTGTTCTTTGCCTGGTGCCTTCTTCATTTCCCAGAAAAGATCTCGGCATCTTGGTGGCTTTCTACTAAATACTGCTAAAAATTCAAAATGTGTCTGATTTTCCTTATTTTTTCATCTTTATTGATGATTGAGTGCACTTTCAGTAAGATTGCAGATGGCATCAAGTTGGGGGGAAATGACAATCTGCCTGGTGGTAGAAAGGCCCAAAAAGGGACCTGGACAGGCTGGATATCTGGGCTGAGGGGATGAAGTTCAAGAAGACCAGTTCTTGCATCCTGTGCTTTGATCGCAACACTGGGCAACACTACAGGCTTGGGGCAGAGTGCTGGAAAGCCGTGTGGAAGAAAAGGATTTGGAGGGTGTTGGTTGATGCTCAACTGAACGTGAGCCAGCAGTGTGCCCAGGTGACTGAGAAGGCCAAGGACATGCTGGCTTGTATTGGAAATAGTGAGGCCAGAAGGAGGGGGAAGGTGATCGTCCTCCTGTACTCAGCTCTGGCAAGGCCGCACCTCAAGTACTGCATTCAGTTATGGGCCTTGCAGTATAAGAAAGACATTGAGGCCCTGGAGCATATCCAGAAATGGGCAGCAAAGCTGTGAAGTCTGGGACACAAATCTTATGAGGAATGGCTGAGGGAATGGGGGTTGTTCAGTCTGGAGAGGAGGAGACTTGGGGGAGATCTTATCACTCTACCGTGCCCTGAAAGGAAGTTGTGACAAGGTGGGGATTGGCCTTTTCTTCTGGGAAAATAATGATAGGACAAGAGAGAATGGCCTCAAGTTACACCAGAGGAGATTCAGATTTGGATATTGGAAAAATTTCTTCTTATAAAGAAAAGAAAGAGGCGTTAGAACAGGTGTCCGGGAAGTGATGGAGTCACTGTCTCTGGAGGTGTTTAAGCAAAGGGTAGATGTAGTACTTAGGGACATGGTTTAGTGCATAGTGTTGGTGATGGGTGGATGGTTGGACTAGATAATCTTAGAGGTCTTTTCCAACCTTAATGATTTTATGATCCTGTTATTACTGCTTGTTGAAATTCAAGACTTAAACATGGGTTAGTTCCAGTACCATTTGCATTTTAAGTTGTTACGTTTTAGGATGAATACTGTTGCAATGTCTGGACTATGGCATTATGAAAAAATGCATCCGTTTGACTTTAGAATTACTCTGACAGCTGCAGTAATCAGCAGTGCTTTTTGCCTACTGTATGTTTGGATGAAACTGTATCTTTCCTGAGAGAAGGGGAAAATACTTTTATATTAACCCTCTCTCTTGAATATAGGAAGGAAAGGGTGATTCTGACTTTCATATGAAGTTACTTTCTTAAGTTACTGTTGTAGCACTGAACTGCCTTATTTGTATATAAGATGTCCCTATAATAGATGAACATTGTCTTCACATAAGGGAATAGCTGCTTGTAGCTAGATGTGGTTTTTGGTATATGAATGATAGTGAATCTACGGGTGTTGTTGACCTATGCCCTGCAGTGCTGTTGTCCTGTGAAGTTTGCAAATGGAAGTGGGAGGAAGATTAGGTCTTGATGTGAATGAGAGGCTGTCTCCTAGGTCCCATAATAATTACGTTCTGAAGAATACTAGTAATATTTGCAGTATTGGCTTATCTGTTAATATATATGCTTTTAATACATGGGATGAAGAAAATGAGTCTATTCAACATTCAGGAACCGCAAAACCATCAGCTGTTGTGATGATACCTATGCATAGTTCATGATGAACATTATTAAGAACAACGTAAGGCTGGGAAGTTCTTAATTTTCATATGGCAAATATGTTTCTTCTTCCTATGTGATTAGGTTTTAATGTTAATATGTTATGATGTTAACATTATTTTCCAGCTCCCCTTGTCCCATCGTTTGACTTCTAGAATACCTGCCCCCTATTGCTGTGTGCCACACATCATTTTTTGCTAGATGCACATTTAGGAGAGGAATATTTTTTTATTTTTTGTTATGTTATAGTATGAAACGTGGCAAGTAATAGAGTAAAATTACTTATTTTTCCAATATAAATGAACCAATACAAACCTTTTACTTAAATCTTTCCTACCCTCTGCTTTTTTCCCCTTTTAGATGTGTGGTCAGCGGGCTGTGTATTGGCTGAACTGTTACTAGGACAACCAATCTTCCCAGGTGACAGTGGTGTGGATCAGTTGGTGGAAATAATCAAGGTATGGAATTTTAAGTGTTTTTTCAACTCTATGGGAATCAGAATGAGAACGATCATTGTTAAAGCTTGGCAACTTACATGCTGATACCATTGTACAAAGTTTTGCCTGTAAACTTTGATTGAAAAAATTTCTCATGCATTTCTGAGAATCTGATACTCTGTTTGCCCATCTTGAAGTCAGGCATGATGGCTCTATCTTTTAATTATACACTCTTTTTCCTCTTACAGGTTTGCACTTTCAGCATGGTTGGAAGTGCTGCTTACATACTGAGCCAATATTTATTAATATATGATTCTAATTCTTTAAGAATCTACCTCTTTTCTTTGTTGCATGCAGTTAGTACTTAGCTTTGAAAACAGTATTGTTGAGTGTCTTTGTGCCAGATTCTTCACATATGTAGCCTTCTTTTCTTCTTCCTTCCTACCAGCTCTTTGAGATGAGAGGTGAAAATGGGTACTCCTTTTTGCAGATAGAATAGCAGGACCTAATTAAATGTAGAGCAAAAATACCTTCCACCTGAAAAGTCTTATTTTTGAAGTGAGAAAGACCTGACGTTTCTAAATGCGTGATGTTTACGTATTGCTTATGCTCAAACACATCTTGATTGATTTCATTTGGTAAGCTGTGAATATTCTTTGATTCTCAAATTAGAAGGATGGAACAATAACTCATAGCTTACATAGTTAGGGCCTGGTTTCCCAGCATCTGTCCAGTTCAGCTTTGTTACCTTCAAAATGATCCTTTCCCTAGTTCATTTCCCTCCTTGATCAACATCTGCAATGAAAGAGGCAAGGTTTCCAATCAGCATATAATTCCTTTAGGTGCATCTGTGCTCTTAGTAAGATGGCAACATTACAAAGGAGAAGTTGTGTAAGCATGCCTTCTTTCATGTATTACTGCTGTCTTTGTACCTCTTCTATCACAGTGGCTAACAGCAGCCAGTACCAAGCTGTCATCCTTCTGTATGAGGAACATGAGCTGGCGATGCTCAGAGTTTCTGTGGCTGGCAGTACAGTCCCACTCATGTGTGCCCTGACCTTTCCAGGCTCTCACCATGTCTCCTCCAGCCTTTGGCTGTGTAAACTTAGCTTCTGCTACAGTGGTTTTGTGTCTGTCCTGCTGGAAGTCCTTCAGACTGCTCCTTTCCTCCAGAGGCCTCTTGCATCTCCTCCTCCTATGACTTCCTTGCTTTTTTAACATTGTCTTTCTGCCCAGTGTATCTAAGCTCAGCAGGTTCACATAGTGTCAGTTTACATAGGAAACACCAGTGGAAAACTAGAACTGCTGTGCCCAGTAGAGCTGATGATGCCATGAGTGAGAATTTTCTCCTTTTGAGAAGTGTCTTGGAGTGGTGCAGTTCTTTCCATTGCACCTCTTTTGTGAGATGTAGAACAGTCTGTAAACATGTCAGGTTGCTAGAGTTCCCGTGGAGTTTGTGCAATAAACTGTGCTACTTGCCTTCAGATATTTGCAAAAAAAACCTTGTTTCAATTCTTGATTAATACCTGCAATCCCAAGAAACTACATCTAAATGAGTTTTTGTAAAAACTACTTTTTATATCATGATGAAAGCCCTGTAAGTCCTTCCATAATTCAGTTGGAAAACTGAGAGTAGAGAGGCCTTATCAGCAAAACCGTAGTGCTCTGCAATTGCTTCAACTTTCACAATGTGAAAGTAAAATAATAAATGAAATAGATGTCCCTTCATTATTGAGGTGCTCGCCAAGCAGAGATCATCATTTTGTTCATAGTTTTTTAGAAGCTGCTTTCTTTACTTAGGCATTTTCAGTTCTGCAATTCTGGGGGTAAACAACTATAAACTAATAGTTTTGTAGCATGTATGTGCTCCAATTGTGATAATTTGGCTTCGTTTATGCTTGTCTGACAGTGTATTGAAGCAAAGGAATAAAAAACTATTGATGGCCTGCCTACCACCACCACCTGCAACTTTTTTAAAATGTTGCTACCATGATTTATGATAATTCTTATTGACCAGTTCACAGAACCATAAAACACCCAGAGTTGGAAGGGATCCTCAAAGATGATAGAGTTCAATTTATAACTGAATATATAGCGCTGGCAAACTCATGTCTAATAACAGCCAAAGGATTGTACTGTATAAATGCTTGAAAATCAGTAAGTTATAGCTGGGCATTGATGACTTTCACCTCAGCAGAGACAGATTTCTGAATAATTTCTTTGAATGTAGAAATAATAATTCTGAATGATCATCCAGACCTGTGTTTGTTTTGAGTTTTTTTCATCTCCTGTTATACATGTAGCCCTCTGCATACAAAAATTAAGTAAAACAGCTTAAATGTAGGAATAGCTCCATTTTATTGTAAGCCTAGTCTCTTCATTAAAAAGGCTATGGTGCTGAAAATGTTTTAGCAAAGTCTGAAAGAACAAACACTAAATCTTAGAGTAGTAGTTATTAAAATGTGTTCACTAAGTCCTTAAAATACAATGGAAAATGTGGACTTGAATTGGGTAGATGCCACGAATAATTTTCTGACCATATACTTGTTATGTAGACAACATAGATTCTCAAGGCAACAAGGGAAGGGAAAATTAATAAACTGCAGAACTGTACTGTCTTTCAATACTTCTGCATATGACATGTTGTGTTGTGCATTTTGTGTTAGCTATATATATTCATAAAAGCATTGGCAAAAGGCTGACGTGGGAATACAGAGGGAATTGCAGTTGGGTATAGTGCAGCCACCCATGTGTTAGACATGAGGCTATTTAAGACTTTGTTTAGAATAGGATTCATTTAATATTGTTTTGGGTTTTTTTTATATAGTTGGCATCCACCTCTTCCATTTGCAACACTTGAAGTATTACTATTTAAAACTTCTATTGTAACATGGACTTAGCTTAATGCCAGCTGGCTGTAAAAGAAGCAGAGCGTATGGGGTCTACCAACTGCAGGGAGTCTCTCACGAGACCCCATGTTGAACACTGCATCCAGATGCTCAAAATGAGAAGGGCGTGAACCTGTTGGAGCAGGTCCAGAGGAGGCCTTGAGGATGCTCAGAGGGCTGGAGCACCTCTCTTGTGAGGACAGGCAGAGGGAACTGGGCTTTTTCAGCCTGGAGAAGGCTGTGAGGAGGACTTACTGAGGCCTTTCAGTACCTAAAGGGGGCCTGTAGGGAGGCTAGGAGGAACGCTTTATCAGGAAGCACAGTGATAGGCAGGGGGAATGGTTTTAATTGGCAAGAGGGTAGGTTTATATTAGCTGCTAGGAAGAAATTCCTTACTCGGATCTCATTGAGACACTGGCATGGGCTGCCCAGGGAAGCTGTGGTTGCCCCATCCTCAGAGGAATTCAAGACCAGGTTGGATAGGACCCTGGGCAACCGGATCTGGTGGATGGCAATCCTGCCTATGGCCCAAGTTGGAACTTAGGGTTGGAACCCTTATTTTTAGTTTCTTTTTCTCGTTTGTATTTCTTCAGTCTTTCTGCAGTAGTACTTCCTTCTTTCCTTCTTTCTTTTGTATTTCTTCAGTCTTTCTGGCTAGGAGAGAGATCTTCAACAACTTACCTTTGAGAAAATGATGCTCAGCGTGGCAAAATACTGCCTTGGACCTGAAAAAAAAATCTGAAAAAATAATTATCTAATTACATTCTTCTTGAATTCTTACATCGTTTCTGGAGAGAAATTATATGATGTGCTTTTTCCGAGGTTTTATCTTGGATGGTGACTTATCATTATTTTTAGTTCTTGCAGACTATTCCAAATGTTAGGTTATCCGGTTGCTGGAAATATCTCAAGTTGGTAACCAGATACATTAATTTTAATTTTGAGTGACAGCCTCTTCGGAAATGTGCTAGTTCCTGACACAGACACAGTGGCACTGCAGGCAGAGCAGTGGTTCATGGTAGAGAAATTACATCTGAGTGAGTACTACACCTAAGAGAGCAGTGGTGTGGGTCCCTTTGCCGGGGGAAAGGTGAAACTGCTCTTGTCAGCAGCCCAGGAGGGTTGCAGTTTGCACTGACTAAAATCCATTGTACAAGCAGGATATTGCTGAATACAGCTCAGACAAGTGCTCTCAGCCTGCAAGAGGGAATTTTTAGAGGGTGCAATCAATGTAGGCTCCTGTGCGACTCCCTCTCCTCATGCTCACAGCTAGGAATGTAACTGTGGTGCCTGCAGGATGGCTGTGCCTGCTGTGGAAGCTTGGAGAGGTAAATCCTGCTCCTCCCACACCCTGGAGAGCACTGAAAACTGGCTGGAGTATTCCCCCAGGCTGACCCATCTTCAACCGCAGCTCCCGCAGAAAGGGATTATGCACTATTCCCCATGCAAAAAGGAAATTTCTGAAGCATTATAGCTTTTCTTCTAAGATACATACTTAATTACATATTTATCTTTTGAAGGATTTTATTTAGCTTCTTCCCTCTACTCTGCTCAAAATGGGAAAAAAATCTTTGTCGAAGGAATGAAACGGCAGTACTCACATGAGCAGTCCTGGCGTACTGGGAGGACAGCATCTGCCAATCTGTTTTTCATTGAGTTTACCATAAATATTTTTTTCCTGTGTGTGCTGTTGTCTTGAGCGTGACGTGCAATGACCAACTTCTGATAACTGTAAGAAACAGCTAGGGGTTTTCTGGTATGGTTTTTTTTGTTCCTTCTGGATTGTGCATTTATTTCTTGCACTGAAGAAAAAATGAAATCATCTTCCCATAGTTTTCTGGGTTGGGAATGAGGCAAAGGGAAAAAAAAAATGTATTAAAACCCAAACTTGATAGTATCAGGAATCTTATCCATGTGTAACTTTTTGATCTGTGACAGTTTTACCGAACTGAACACTAAGTATAGACTGCAATTACAATATATGGCTCACACTCAAATGTCAGGGTGCTATTTTGGGCTCCGTTTTTGCAATAAAATAAATTCAGTCACAGCAGTTAATGGGGAGAGTGGAGCTGTTTTTTCCGGGAGAAGAGACAAGCAGAGAGAAGACAGCTTGTTATCGACTGTGGTCCTGCATGAGAGAGTGCTGCCCAGGGACCCATCACTGTACATAACACCTGTGTGTCCCTGCTGCAGGATATCATCTGGGTCCTTCCCTTGTGCCCATAAGGAAAGTTCTCTGGCATTTCACCTCCAGCACACACCACACCTAGCCTGTTCAAGTACCTCATATTGTTTCTTGCTTCCAGTGCTTGCTGGCAGACAGTATAAAAAGATGATGAATAATTATATTCACGTCAGTAGTGACAGTGGATTTCTTCCTGTTGTGTAGCTGTTCTTGAGTTTTTTAAGTAGAAGAAATCTCTATATTTAGTTGGCTTTCATTTTTGTTTGACAGGACCATGATTTTGAAAGAAAGTGCATATAAAATGTGCAATTTTTTTTTTTTTTTTTTTTTACCATAGAAGCATTATTTCAGAACCAACCTGTCTTTACTGCTTGAGATGCCAGCACCTTGAATTTAAGTAATTAGTTGGCACACCTCTTAACAACTTACAGAAGAGGTGCAGACATGTCTGGAAGAGTAATAATTATGCCATCTGGTAAACCATACACACCTGGTAGATGTTTCCTCCTAAGATAGCATGGTTTTCATGGGGAAGGCACTATACCACTGTGTAGTTTCTGGAAGATCCTGAATTAAATAACAACCTTCTTCCCTCTCAAGGTCACTCCAGTCCTCCCCAGTCAGAGTTTCTGAACTCTGCTTTTAGCTGATTTTGATATTTTGGCAAATAATTAGTAGTAAGTAACAATAGCTGTCAGAAAGGACATGTATTCTATAGAGGTTTATGCAAACCTTGCAGTTTCCACTTCCTCCTATGTTGAAACAGCATGCTTTTGGTCTCATAGCCCTGCACAGTGAAGCCAGGTGTGGACAGCAGCTGTCTTCAGTTCTGGAGTCTAGCTCCTTCTGTGAAAATTCATTTGCAAGTAAATGAAGATCTTCGTGCTGTTTGTGACCAAATTCAGGTCTTACTTTAGATATAAAAAATTCCTGGTATTTTTAGAGATGTGATTATCTGGAGCCTGTAGGTTTTCTTTAATTGCTTGAGACATACACTGTTACGCTACCTTCATTAACTCTGTTAGTGGAAGAAAAAGTAACAGGGGAGTTTCATCTGTTGCAGGTGAACGTCAAGGAAAAACTTCCTGGAAAATCTTTGTAAAACCTCCCACATTCAGTTTTTGTCCTGAGAGAATTCAAATATGTATTCCTTGGTTACTCTTCTTAGATAGTTTGTGTTATGTGTTTTTATTTAAGGGACGAAGATGACTTCTGGGGACGAAGAGCAAAGCCAGTTGATCTTTAGCCTATTGTTGTCTTCACCTGCAAGATCTTTTCTTATAGGCCACTTTCATTCTAATGTTTTGTCTTCATTCCAGACACAGTTTGTTTGTTGTCATTTAATTAAATGGCTTTTTTATTTTTTTAATTTAAAAATACTACCTTTCATAAGGCTGTCCCCAAGAAGCAGAAGTAGAATAGTATACATTGATATGCACAGACTGGAATAATTAAGTATCAGACTTCGTATTTCTTAAAAGCTGGCTAACCTATGCAAGATTTGGGGAATCTCATCCATGTATAGAAATACCTGAAGGAAAGATACAGAGAAGACTCAGCCAGGTTCTTTTTGCGTGCCCGATGCCAGAACAAGAGGCAATGGACATGGACTGGAACACATTGAACTCAAATCTGAACACAAGAAAACAGTTTTTATTATGAAGGTGATTAAATATTGGAGCATGTTTCCTGGAGAGGCTGTGGAGTCCCTGGAGATTTAAGAAGCTGCCTGGATACAGTCCTGACTCTTGCTGACCTGCTTGAGCAGAAGCTTGGACATCCACAAGTCCCTGCCAGCCTCAGTATTCTGTGATTCTGTGAAACCTGTCAGCAAGGAACATCTGCTTCATAGTATTTTCAGAGCTGGTATAGCAAGAACGGTTGTTTTACAGTGTAATTCTGCCAAAAATGTGCAAAGTAATTTATTCTTCTCCTTTGCATTCCAACAGAAATAGCAGTCATATGAATGACTTCTCTTTCTAAAAGAGAAAATGTTTGCCCAGCTTTTGTGATAGCATAAGCGATTGCTGCTGCTCAACAAGGTTACTCAAAGGTATTGCTAATGTACCTAAAACTCTGCATAACTCAGTAAGTTATGGTTTAAAAATGGTACAGCAGAGTGCCCTGGAGGACAGGGTGGGGTTATTTCTATCCCTTGCTACAGGACCTCTTCCAGGCGTTGCAAGTATCAGAACATTTTTATAGCTTATCACGTCATTCATCCCACTTTTTTTTTTCCCCTGGATTGTGATTTGAATATGACAATCTTAAAAGCTACCATTTTTCTTCCTGTGTACTTTCCTCCTCCTTTTTTTTTTTTTTTTTTTGCCTTGTTCTACCTACTCTCAGTCTGAAATGAAAGCATATAGACACCACCACCACTGAGTGGTTGATGTAAGTCACTTATCCTTCTGTAGGGTCATTTTGTGTGTCTGAGGCTATATAACCAAAAGGTACAGCTTACCCTTCCTTCATCTAGTATTATCCCTCTTCAAAACCTCCTTTTCAAAGCATTCTTGACACCTTAGGCAGTGTTGATTAAATGCTTCACTATCCTTGTCACCAAAGCTTCAGCTCCGGAGTTGTTCTCTCGCATCGTTTGTAGTTTGGTCTGTGGGTTTTTGTGAAATGCGTGGCTGGGTGTTGTCCAGGGGTCCTCTCATGAAGCTATCTTTGCCTGTCTGATCTGAAATCTCTCCCATCCTATAAGCATTCTTTAGGTAAAGATACAGGCACTGTGCAGATTCTCATTCTGCGCAGCCTTGGGAACCGAGCCAGATTCCTGAATTTGAGCGATATAAAAAATTTAGTCCTTGCCTCCTCTTAGGAAAGCTATTAAAGATGGTGGGTTTTTTGTTTTTTTTTTTGAGAGGGGGAGGAGATGACGGAAGGTAAGCTTGGCTTTAAACAAGCTCTTTCTATGCAAGGGAGGCCTTAAAATGCAGTGAGCCGTGAGAAATGGTGGGACAGCAATACAAGTTATCCATAATTTGACAGGAAGTTAAATAATCCAGGGAACTTCAACGTTTTTGCAAATGGTTTTTACCCTGCATTGAAATTGAAATACTATTTGGAGGTCTGAAATTCCATCAATTTTTTGAACAGGCACTGAGAGCAGCGGTCTCAGAGCCTGGAACAAGGGGAAGGGAACATTTCTGGCTACTTTTATTTTCCTTCAAAGTTTAGCAAAACATACAGGATCCTGTAAATGGACTCTTTGCTACCAACATAGGCGTGCACAGAAAAGTAGTCTGATGTGAGCATAACTCTTGGATTGTAGATGGGGTGGGATTTATGTCTCAGCAATTGAGAGGTGGGTGTTTTGGGATCATTTCTTTCATGTAACTTGCCAATTGAATCTATTACTCAGGAAGCAATTGCCTGAACAAGTTCTGGGGGTTTATTTCCTTTTGCTGTTAATTTAAAGCATTGCTTTATGGGTAGATATTTTGTTTCATACAGTTGTGTTTTAAATCACAAAATGATGCAGGCTCTTTCCATAGTAACTGCTGGGGTTTTTTTGTTGAACTGAATAGTGACACTTGTTCTTATCCTCTTTGCCTGACTCTTCAGAGTGTGTTTGTGCCATTTCCATTCTTGGAACTGAACTGAACTGTAACTGTGAACTGAAAAATGTTCACAGGTAGGAGAATATACGATGAAATACTTCTTTAGCACTCTGCCTTACTAGCTAATAGTGTCACATTTTAGGCTGTTTCCTCGTGGAGACAATGCATAACATCACAGCAGTATGTATGGCAGGAGCAGTGTGTTTGTAAGCTTGTTAGAGGCCTGTTATTCATGACTTAAAATGCAGTCTGTGTTATAGCTGATTAAGGATTTGACCTGTATGCTACAATCAGCAGCACCGTTTTATAACATTAAAATTACAATAAACTCTATTCCCTATTGAAATATCACAAAGTTTGAGAACAATTCTTGAACTTAGTGGGAAAATTTTAGAAAATAATTAAATTTTTGATGCTTGGCTTGGAGCATGAATTCTGCCACCAGGAGACTACCGAAGCTGCATCAGGAGTGACAGAGATGACTGAGGGACTGGGGCATCTGCCACATGAGGAGAGGTTGTGAGAGCTGAGACTGCTCAGCCTGGAGCTGAGAGAGGTTCAAGGAGGGTTTTATCCACGTGCATAAATCCAAGCTCTTTTCAGTGGTGCTCAGTAAGAGGACAAGAGTGAAGAGGCACAAATTAAAACATATGCAGTTCCATCTGAGCATAGGTTGTGGAATCTCTTTACGCGGAGATACGCAAAACTCAGCAGAACGCAGTCTTGGGCAGCCTTGCCTGTATCTAACTCTGCTTGAGCAATGGATTTGGACCAGATGGCCTCAGGAGAGGAGATCCCTTCCAATTGAAACTGGAAGTTTTGTTGTTTTGTTCTGTGTTCACTTATTGATTATACACATTGACTTCAGTTTTCTTGCCATGTAATGGATTCCATGGGAATGTGAAGCATATGTAAACAATGGCTTTTTTTTTCCTTTCCTTTCTAGGTTCTGGGAACGCCTACAAGGGAGCAAATTAGAGAAATGAATCCAAACTATACTGAATTTAAATTCCCTCAGATTAAGGCACATCCATGGACTAAGGTAAGTCTATACGATTGGATAATAACAACATGTGGGCTGAAACTAAGAAAAGGGAGTTAAGTGTGATTGTCTTCATAGCTTTCAGTCTGAACTAGGTGCCTTTAACTATGCTGGAGACCCAATAACTCTTAATATAGGTAAGGATAAAGAAGACGTTGAAGCAGTGTATTGCATTACACATTAGTTTTGTTGGTTTTTTTTTTTGAGGCTGCCTACAGTGTTTTTTTTTAAAAAAAAAACAATGGCGTATGTGTTTGTAGTGGATTGCAATATATCTAAATCCTGTCATTCTGTAACTTTTGATGTGTGTAAAAGTCACTTAGAAATGAGAAAGTGTTGCATTGATGTGCGTGACACTTCTGTAATGCTGTTACATAAATCTGACAGTGAAGGTTGACAGTCATTTTCTTAACTGATTCTTTCAAAAAATATTATATTTGTAGTCTTGTAGGTGTGTTGTTTAGTGTTGTTTTGGTGTTTTTTTTTCCTGGAGCTACTTCTTAAGACTGTTTTGCTACCTAGTTTTCAGAAGGAGGTACTACTGCAGTAAATACTGGCAATAATATAACCATGATCAAAGTGGAAACTGCTAGCATTAGAGTAAGTTCAAGGCGCACAGTTAAGTTGTCCTCCACATGCGGAGGAATGGTGGATTTTTTTATATGAAAAGTGGTAAAAACTGATCATTTAATTACCCTCCAGCTTGTGATTTAAGTTAAATATCAAATTTTAAGCACTGATGCCTGACAGTTAATGTTTTCTTGAGAAACGTCTGACATAGTTGCAGAATGTTGTCATCATACCTTAACGGTTCAGGTTTTCTTCTGCTATATATTCTTTATGTGTGAAAGGATTTTATTCCTAGCTGAGCACATGTCCAGGTCAGACTCTTTAAGACCAAATGCATTGTGGTGGTAGAAATTCTGGATAAGCTAACTAGAGCTAATCAAGGGTCTTTCTGACAGCTGGTCATGTATCTAGTGGGTACATGTCAAGCCAAATATGGTGTTTATATAATATATTCTTCAACATTTTATGCACTACTTCAATTCTCCTTTTCTCCAATAATTCCTCGTTTGTATTTCCCTATCCTAGTGTCTGTGGATTGGTTAAGTGATTTATAATAGTATGAGAGGTCTGTTAATCCAGTGATGCATTTTAGTGTCCTACATTAACTGGAAACAAGAATAGGACAAATGAAATCCCTGGGAGTTGGTCTCTTCCCTTTCAAATTGCACCATAGTAGAAGTCAAGTCACAAGAATAACGCCAAAAGCCTTATAGCACAGAATTCTATGGTTGCATCTGAATTTCTGCAGTGAGGGTGCTCTGGATTTGAGGAATAGAACTAATATGCAGTGGAACAGGGGTGCTGAGATGTGCAGTAGCATATGGAGTTCATCTAAGTTAGCTATGCAACTTGTCTTCTGCCTGAATAGTCTTAAGAACCATCTGTATGCACTTGATGGTCACAACGGAGACCTTTGAACAAGTGGAAGCTTCAAGAAAACAGTGTCCTTCTATTTATACGCATTATACGTACATATGTTTTGTCATTCTAAGTAGACATAGGTGAAACCAAGTCAATTTGAAAGAATTGAGAGGAGCTTGCCAGGAGATGGCGTCTGCATTAGGGCACAGTTACTTTTGGACATCTGTGCTTGCAGTATAGCTTCTTATTCTCAACTCATTCTATACATTCTTCCTGACATAGTTGGGTGTACAGTAGCATTTAAACCAGTTCGCTGCAGTTGAGTGACATGATGCTTCATTTATGTAATCTGTACTTTTCTTATTATACAAGTGCTAAATTAGTAAAAATGGATTATCCAGCACAGTGTTAGCAAAGACACTCATCCAGACTTACTTCTGAAGATTATTTCATTTCAACGTTTTGCTGTTGAGCCATGAAAGATTTCAGTAAGTGGCAGAAATGCTTAGGATTGCTCTCTTACCCACTTGTATTGGTATAATATCTGATGGCACTGAAGCCATATAAATTATCACAGAATCCTGGAATATCCCGAGTTTGAAGGAATCATTTAAGTCCAACTCCTGGCCCCACACAGCACCACACAAGATCCAAACCCTGTGTCGGAGAGCAAAGTCCAAACACTCCTTGCACTCTGGCACTCAGAGCCGTGCCCACTGCCCTGTGCAGCCCGTTCCATGCCCACCGCCTTGTGGTGCAGACCCTGTCCCCCATCTGCCCTCCCCTGACACAGCTCCATGCCGTTCCCTCGGCCCTGTCGCTGTCACACAGAGCAGAGCTCAGCGCTGCCCCTCCGCTCCCTGTGAGGAGCTGCAGCCGCCATCAGGCCTCCCCTCAGCTCCTCTGCTCTGGGCTGAACGCACCATGGGACTTCAGCCTCTCCCCAGACACCTTGTCCTCCATACCCATAACCACATTTGTAGCCCTCCTTTGGATGCTCTCTCACAGTTTTATGTCCTTCTTACATTGTGGCACCCACAGCTGCACCCAGTGCAGGAGGTGAGGCCGCACAGCACAGAGCAGAGCAGGACAACCCCTTCCCCCACCCGGCTGGCAGTGCTGGGCCTGATGCACCCCAGGGTATGGTTGGCCCTTTGGGCTGCCAGGGCAACTGCTGACTCAGATTTGACTTTTCATCAGGCAGAATCCTCAGATTCCTTTCAGCAATGCTGCTCTCCATCCTCTTATCACCTAATCTGTGCATATATTCGGGATTGCCCCTTCCCAGCTGCAAAATTCAGCACTTGCTCTTGTTGAACTTCTCGTGGTTGATGATTGCTTAGCCCTCCAGTTTGTCAAGATCTCTCTGTAAAGCCTCCCCACGCTCTGGGGAGTCAACAGCTCCTCTTAACTTAATATCATTTGTAAGTTACTTATTATGTGTTTGAGACCTGCATCTAGGTCATTTAGGAAAACATTGAAGAGAACTGCTCCTAAAATAGAACCCTGTGGAACCTCAGTGGTGACTGGCCACTGGCCTAATATGATCCCCCCCAACCATTAGAGCCAACTCTTCCATAGCCTCATGTTGTCCAGCTACATGCTGGACATTTTCTTCAGAAGAATACTGTGAGAAACAGCATCAAAAGCTGTGCTGAAATAAATAACAAAATTTAAGCCAACATTTATCAAGTGTGTAACATTTTAACTAAGTCTTTAAAACAGCCAAGCAGTACAAGTTTTTAATCCAAAACTGCAGAATTCCACACTAAAAGTGTCTTATAAAAAGGGCTCCAATGAAAACCCAAAAGAATGTAGGCAGAAGATCTTACGTCACATTATGGCACTGTTTACATGTACTCTTGAAGAGTTGTTTATTTGACAGATACTTGTCATATCAGTTAAAAAAAAAAAAAAAGAAATGTTTTAAAGCATTATAAAACATTGTTATAAATAAACTTACTGACCTTTGATCCAAGTAGCCATGCATTAACAACTTCATAAAATACGCACTCATCATTTATTAAACCTTAATAAATTACAGCCTGATATAGCAGTGACCTCTAATAACTTGGCATTAGAGAACAAAAGCACTAAAAGATGAAGGACTGCAGATCACTAAAGAATTAAGACTACTGAATACGGAAGTGTCCATCCTCTTGGAGTTTCTGTATTTTAGAATTGAAATTACTGACTAGGAAAATACTTCTGAACTATCATTGCAGAAGTGTAGTCTAATCAGCAGAAAAGGACAAATGGTTTTTGTTATGTGTGTAACTAGAGTGCTGTAAATAGTTCCAGCAGGACTTCAATTTTCAAAGCTTCAATCTCAATAACACAAACATTTGTCATCTAGGTTAAAGAATTACTGAAGATACTGTATTTAGAAGGCTGTTATTTTTGTGATCTTGTTATAACCGGAGGACTCACCAGTTAGAGTTATTTTTTGTGTGAAAAAGCTTCTAGGCAGCTATTTATCAGAATGTTTAGAGAAAAAAGTCACTCCCTCATGTAGGCTCTTTTACACAAGAGCTTTCTCACTATTGTTTCAAAATATTTCAGGGAAATTTATCTGCTTTGCGGAAGTATGTTTGGATTGCAATTAAAAGGATTCCAATCCTATGTACTCCGTATTACAAATAAATTACATCTGAAATTCTGTGAGGAGGACTTCTGTTGGTTGTACCTATTGTGATGGTCTGCTCTCTGGGTATTTCTGGCAAGTTTTGAGCAATGTGGCCTAGTGGAATGTGACCCTGCCAATAGCCAATAGCAGAGAGATTGGAGCTAAATGATCTTAAAGGTCCCTTCCAAGCCAAACAATTCTATGATTCTATAATATTGCTAAAACTATAAAGTATTGAGCATATATTTTAGATTGAATATTGTGTGTCTGTGTGTATAGCCTTCATATGCATTTTATCACTCTTCTCACTGATCCTTAATTGTTGAATGTTGCCGTACTTGCAGCAGGCAGTCCTGTCACCTTCCTGCTCACCATGGGGCTGGGACATAAGCAGTCTGGTCTCTCTCATGACTGTTTTTTTCCACCCTCCCAACTCAGCCTCATGTCCTCATCCTGTCCTACTCCTGCTCTCCTGGTTCTTGTCTGGCTTTTAAGCAGATTGTTTTGCTTGTAATACATCCAAGTGACTGCTCATATTGTAGATTCAAGAAAGAATACCAAGCAGTAAAAAGGATAAATAGCTTCTTTTGTCACTCCTAATTATAACTGATGACAAAAGAAAATGGAAATTCTTCTGCCAGAAGTCTTCGTTGGTGAACTTGCATTTGAAATAAAATGGCAAACTCTTCCAAATTTGGAGCCTGATCTTTTGTAGAGATACAGAAGTAGAATGGAGGTTAAATATTTCTTTAGATGCAATTTCATAATTAGCTCAAGTTTGTCATGAAGCGGGGTCTGCCTCCCAGTTCCCTCTTGCATATTCTTGATGCCTTCCTTCTGCATTCTTGTTTATGTAGTAGCAAAAAACTCCTGGGAGAGGAAAGAAAAAGCACATTATTCAAGATCTGGATTGGCTTTCTTACCTGACTGCTCATTCAGGCCC